AATGTGATGTAAGAGTTTCCTTTGACCTGATATCATGAGAGTAATTGACAAGTTATTTATTGTGCTTTGATACTAGACACATATGGCCCTAGGGCGATAGTTGAAAGGATATTGGGTACGATTAAATACTTGTAGAATTAGTAATTGATCAAGATGGAATCTGTCAACTCTTGGTAATGAGTTTAAGCTCCATGTTGTCAAAAATTATAACCGACCAAATTAAAACCTTGACCAGGGTGATTGAATAAAAGAAGAAAAGAGTTTCTTAGGTCATTCAATGGTCGATTATTTCTTACATGAACACATAGTTGGTCGCCTATTAGGATTTGACAGTTGAACCATATCCTCGGGTGACCCACAGCTATAAAGACAGAAGGAATTAATACATTATTCTTCTACAGGTTCTTGAGAGTAAATTATATACTTCATACTATCCGGTCGTTAAGGAGTGTTTCTAGACGCCACCCTTGATTAGTATATAGATGTGATTATTTTACTACTGGTTTAGTATTGAACCTATGGGGTCGCACACTAACGAGTGCCCTGATTTTTGCTAAAGGATTAATTACTTTATTATTTGATAATTAAATTAAAGAATTTAATTAGTCAAATAAATTTAGTTATTAGTCCAATGGAAATATTATTATATTCTTTGCTCGNTGTGTGTGTGTGTGTGTGTGTGTGTGTGTGTGTGTGTGTGTGTGTGTGTGTGAGTGAGTCCTAATTAAGAATTAGGGTAATATAGATCTTATACATATTGTAAAAACCAAGCGAGTTATTCTTAAGAAGAAAATTGCTATGAGAAAGAAATAGTATAATACAAAGCCAAGATAAAAAATATTAGTACAAAAAAATTATTTCTTGTTCTTCTACCTTTGAGTTGAGATTTTTGAGAAAAATTTCAACACAATATTTTCATTCAATTTGTTCGCGGGATTTCATTGATCAAAGAGTTGATAGCAAGGATCAGTCTCGGTGTGAATACGCATAGAGTCTTAGCACTATCGAAAATTTTAAAACGAGACTCTTTTCACCAGGTACGTCTAGATCCGATCTTTGATATGCAAAATAAATTTTAAACACGAAAAGATCTGCCTAGGATTGTTTTTGTCTTCCGCTGCATGTTATGAACACTTCTATGCAATCCTACAGTGGTATCAGAGCCGTGGTTTATTATGTCTAAAATTTATTTATGAAATATTTTAAGATTATATTTGAAGAGTTCAAACCATAATACATGTGTCTTGTGCAATAGTCAAATTGTTTGAATGCATATGAATTGATATTATTTTATTGTGAATAAAATATGTATTCATATAAGTTAAACTATTGAGATGGTTCGTAACTTGAATTTGAAATTTTGTACAAGATACGACGCTAATCTATAATAGGTTATTAGATTATACAATTATTTTAATTGTTATTAGTTTATGAGATATAAATTAATAATAATGTTCTAGCATGAATTATTTTATGTGACATATAAGATAAACATGTTAGAAAATATTGAATTTTGTTTTTATGTCCCGTGCTTGTTCATTACATAATTTTGAATTATTTATTACATGTGATGTAAATTAATTTAGGACTAAGCATGTAGACAACATGAACTAAATTCACATTCTATAAAAGATTTGATCTTATGTTATTAAAAAATATTTTAGTAACAATTCTCTCTTACTAAAATTTGAGTTCTTAAATAATAAAATATAAGATATTTTATTGTAAAGCTATCCATCAAAATATATAATTTTATTTATTTCTTGTTTATAAGGAACGGCCGGACAACCAGGAGACTTATAGTTTGAGAATATGTTAAAATTATTTATTGCATTAGATATATGGATTGGAAGAATTATTTAATTTTACACTAGACGCCTGGACTACCAGGGGGAGTATAAAACTTAATAAGTTTTTTGCTTTCATGATGATTGAACTCAACTATGCCAATATGATCGACCTGACTACCAGGGGACTATTTGACATAGAGCTATTTAAGGATATTGTACGGGGATACAATTGGTAAAAGTACCTACCTTTAAAGTATATGTGAGAAACGACTTGACTTCCAAGGGACTCATACATATTGTTAAAGGATTCCTTTACTCCACTAAAAGAAATAGAGATTTCTTAAACTATATTGAGGGTAAATAGTTTAAAATAATTAGTGAAAATAACATTTAGATAAATGTCACGACCCCAAATTCCCTCCGTAGGATGTCGTGATGGCACCTAGTCTCTAAGACTAGGTAAGCCTATCAATGCGAAATAATAATAAATATCTAAAATAAATAAACTACAATTCAAACAATTTTAACTCCCAAAACCCGGTAGAAATAAGTCACAAGCTTCTAAGAATCTATTCTCTATGGCTCTATACATCAAAGTCTAAAGCAAATAAGGAAGACAACATAGTAAGATAGAAGGGGACTCCGGAGTCTGCGGACGCTGGAAGATATACCTCAAAGTCTCCTCGTACAGCTAGTTTACTGATGCGTGGTCTGATAATATGTACCTGGATCTGCACAAAAAGATGTGCAGAAGCGTAGTATGAGTACACCACAGCGGTACCCAGTAAGTGCCAAGCCTAACCTCGGTAGAGTAGTGACGAGGTCAGGTCAGGCCCTACTGGAGAATAAATAATGGCATGGTACAATGTTTAAACAACATTTTAAGATAAAATGACAACGGAAATGAATCAAGTAGTATGTCACATTTAATTACATCAAAAAATGGCAAATAAATACCTCGTGGAAACAAAATAGAATTCTTTTCAACTTGAAAAAAATCACAACAATAATCAAAGGCAACTGCGGCCATAAATCAATGTCAACAAGGGCACTCCCAAGGTACCGCCTCATAGTCCAAAATCATAAATAAATTCACAATATTTTATTTCCTTATCTCACCGCGGGAGCCTTCACAATTTATTTGAAAGAAAATATATTTTCCGAAATAGCATCCCGCGTCTTACCCATCCTTATCACACCGCATGACTTCTAGTAGTTCCCCCTACTAGCCACGCATATCAAGCCACTCTTATCTCACCGCATGCATTTCAATACCCAGACCTTATACCACTGCATGTGTATCAATATCACAATATATCACAATTTACATTTCAGGTGCTCAAATAATTTAACTTGCCAAAATAATAAAACAACAATATTTTTTTCCAATAAAGAGCTCACGGCTCATGTCAAAGTAATTCAACAATAATATTTTTCCTCATTAAAGAGCTCACGGCTCATGTCAAAGTAATTCAACAATAATATTTTTCCTCATTAAAGAGCTCACGGCTCATGTCAAAATAATTCAACAATAGTATTTTTCCACAATAAAGAGCTCACGGCTCATGTCAAAATAATTTAACAATAATATTTTTTCTCAATAAAGAGCTCACTGCTCCATCACAATGAGTACGAAAATCTTATAAAAATATTCAGGAGTAAATAATTCAGGAAAAATAATATTTCAAAATCTTTAAAACGTTGCTTCAATATCAAGTTTAAAAATGTCAAATACTTCATATTAGTAATATTTAATTTAAAGAAAATAAACCTTCAAATAATGCACAAAATAAAAGAAATCAAGTTTCAACTAACAGGTAAAACAATTAGCAGGAGAAGGTCAAACAAATTTAAAATACAAATATTTAATTAATGATGAAGAATATAACAAGATAGAATATTTTAATAAATGCGCAATAATGATCTACACAATTTAAAAATATAATCTTTCCCATTTAGCCCGTGTATACACTCGTCACCTCGTGCACGCGACTTTCAACACATTTCAATAATCACATCAATACCAATCCTAGGGAAAATTTCCCCCACACAAGGTTAGACAAGTCACTTACCATGACTTGTTCCAATTTAATCAAGTATTATACTTTTTCCTCGATTTTTCCAACTCCGACAGACTCATATCTAGTCATAATTAATTTGATATGGTCAACAAAATTTATAGGAATCAATTTCATAAGAAAATATTACACTTTTCAATAAAATCCGAAATTAGGTCAAAAATTGTCGGTGGGGCTCACATCTCAGAATCCGGCGAAACTTATAAAATCCGACAACCCATTTAATTATGAGTCCAACCATACCAGTTTCACTCAAATCGGACTCCGGATCGACACCGAAATCTCAAAAATTCGTTTCTATGAGATTTCTAAATTTCTATCTCAAAACACTAATTAAATGGTGAAAACAATGATGTATTCGTGTATATTGACCAAATCCGAGTTAGAATCACTTACCCAAATATTTTTCCTTAAAAATATATCAAAATCGTCTCTCCTCAAGCTCCAATTCATCAAAAAGGCAAATGGGACGAAGTCCCCTGCTTTTATAACTTACAGATTTGTCAAGGACCTCGATTTTGTCAGGGACCTCGATTTTTTTTAGGAGCTCGATTTGTCAGGGAGCTCTATTTTGTCAAGGAGCTCGATTTTGTCAGGGAGCTCGATTTGTAAGGGACCTCGATTTTGACATGGACCTCGATTTTGTGAGGGAGCTCGATTTTGTTAGGGACCTCAATTTTTTATTCCGAGCATACGCCCAAGTCCTAATTCACGACACGGACCTACCGGAACTGTCAATATACTGATCCGAGTCCGTTTGCTCAAAATGTTTACCAAACTCAACTTATTTTAGTTTTAAACCTCTAATGCACACTTTAATCCATTTTTCACCTGAAAACTTTTCGAAAAATTTTACGACTGCTCACGCAAGTCGAGAAATAATAAATAGTACTTTTCGAGGTCTAAGAACACAAAATTAATTATTAAATTTAAAGATAACATTTTGGGTCATCACAATAAAAGTCCATGTCTTTATGATATATATGTAAATATGTTCTTATATTATTGTCTTTTCTTTTTCATATTTTAGATTTCTCAATATGTCTGATATATCACTGCGTGGAATACTTGAGGCACTAAGTTGGTAGGATCAAACTTTGATGATTGGTACAGTAATTTGAGAATTGTTCTCATGCATGAAAAACTTATTGATGTGATCGATAAACCTGCCAAGGAAGTCCCAAATGAGGATGATGATAATGCCACCAAGATTTATCATAAATACTTGAAAGAATGTCTTACTACCAAATGCATAATTCTCACTTCTATGAGTTCTGAGCTCCAGAGGAAACATCAGGATATGGATCCAACTGCAATCATTGAACATCTTAAGAAGATGTTTGGTATACAAAGCAGGACGGCTAGATACCAGCTATCTAAGGTTTATTTGGATCTTTTGCAGTCACTCTCTGAATCCTTTTCACAATTTGTTATTAATTTCAATATGCATAAAATGGATTGTGATATTCATGAGATAATTAATATGCTAATTGATTATGAGAATCAACTTGCATCTGAGAAGAAGAAAGGAACCGTCATGTTGGTTGGAAATTCTTCTAAGAAGAAGGGTAAGGGTAAAAATAAACCCAAGAAGAAGCCTACTGCGCCTAAGGGTGGTGTGACAAAACTCAAAGACAAAAGAGGCAAAGCTGACCAATCTGATGCTGAATGTTTCCATTGTAAGAAGATAGGACATTGGAAGAGAAATTGTGAGGAGTATCTTGCAACTCTAAATGACAAGAAACAAGGTAAGACTCAAATGAAAAATGTTTTCAAAGTTTCTTTAACTACTACTGATGCTTCATTGTGGGTATTAGATACTGGCAGTGGTTATAACATCTGTAATATGTTGCATGGATTTCAAATAAGTAGAAGGTTGAAGAAATGAGAAATTAATCTACAAGTTGAAAATGATGCAAAAGTTGCGGCCATAGCTATAGGATCAATTTCTTTAATAATGCCTACGGGCAAATTATTTATGTTGGATGATTGTTATTACATTCCTAAATTTGTTTCGAACATAATTTCAGCTTCTATGTTAGACAAATGTGGTTTCACATTATTATAAGCAATGGTATTTGCTCTATTTATTATGGTGATAATTTATATATGAATGGCTACCTCCAAAATAATGTTTATGTTTTACCTAATATGAATGCTAATTCGATTATGCATGTTTTAAGTCTTAAGAGGAAAAGAGATGATCAAGTAAATCATACATACCTTTGGCATTGTAGACTTGGTCATATTGGAGAGAAAAAAATTAACAAGTTGTACAAGGAAGAGTACCTTGACAAGTATGATTTTGAATCATATCCAACTTGTGAATCTTGTCTCAAAGGAAAAATGACCAAATCTCCATTTACTGGAAGTGGAGAAAGAGCTACTAAATTATTGGGACTAATTCATACAGATGTTTGTGGACCCATGAAAATTCAAGCTAGAGGTGGATATTCTTACTTCATCACCTTCACTAATGATATGTCAAGATATGGATTTGTGTATCTTATGAAACACAAATCTGAATCTTTTGAAATGTTCAAAAGGTTCCGTAGTGAAGTTGAGAAACAGAATGGTAAAAGTATTAAAGTACTAAGGTCTGATAGAGGTGGAGAATATCTTAGTAAAATTTTTACTAGGTATCTCAAAGAGAATGAGATTCTCTCACAGTGGACACCTCCAGGAACACCACAACACAATGGTGTGTCTGAAAGGAGAAATCGAACCTTATTAGATATGGTGAGATCTATGATGGGGTTCACTGATCTTCCAATAAATTTATGGGGATATGCTTTGGAAGCAGCAACATACTTACTTAATAAAGTTCCCACTAAGTCAGTCTCTACAACACCTTATGAGATATGGAAAGGACGTAAGCCTAATCTTAAGCATATTAAAGTTTGGGGTTGTCCAACTTATGTTAAGAAACTTCAATTTGATAAAGTTAACTCAAGATCTGATAAGTGTAGGTTCATTGGGTATCCCAAAGAAACAATGAGATATTATTTTTATCACCCTTCTGACTATAAAGTGTTTGTGGCTAGAGGAGAAACCTTTTTGGAAAGGGAATTTCTTTTGGAAGGAAATTATAGTGGAGAAATAGAACTTGATGAAGTTCAAGAAACAAATGAATCAACTCAAAATCAAGATCATGAGACACAAGTTGAATAACCTTTATTGGATGTTTTGAAGTTGACAAGGAAGTTTTCATCTTCAACGGTTGAAGTACAAGAACTAAATATAGTTCAAGAAAAGGTTAATGAACCAATTCCAAATCAAATTGAACAACAACCAAATCCAGCACAAGGTGAACAAGTTGTACAAGCACCTCTTAGAAGGTCTACACGAGAACGTCGTGTACCAACTAGATTAAATCTAATGGTACAAGATGATGTATCAAATGAGGTAGATCATAATGATGATGACCCTAAGACCTATGAAGAGGCAATACAAAGTTCTGATTATGAGAAATGGCAAAAGGCCATGGAATCCGAAATGGAATCCATGAAGGAAAATAAAGTATGGACTTTAGTTGAACCTTCAAAGGATATAAAACCTATAGGTTGTAAATGGGGTTTTAAGAAAAAGATTGGAGCAGACGGAAAGGTTGAGACCTACAAAGCCCATCTTGTTGCCAAGGGATAGCGTCAGAAAGAAGGAGTCGACTATGACGATACTTTCTCTACCGTGGAAATGCTCAAATCAATTCGGATTTTGCTTGCTATAGCAGCCTACTGTGATTATGAAATATGAAAAATGGATGTGAAAACATCTTTCCTTAATGGTGAGCTAGAAGAGGATGTGTACATGACACAACCTAAAGGTTTCACATCTCCGTCTAATCATAATAAAATTTTCAAGCTACAAAGATCCATTTATGGAATAAAGCAAGCTTCTCAAAGTTGGAATATTTGCTTTAACAAGACAATTGAAAAGTTCAATTTTGTTAAATGCGAAGAAGAACCGTGTGTGTATAAAAAGGTTAGTGGGAGCACAATTATATTCTTAATACTTTATGTTGATGATATATTTCTCATAGGAAATGATATACCGGCATTGCAAAGTACCAAGATTTGGCTATCTGAACAATTCTCCATGAAAGAGTTGGGAGAAGCAGCTTATATATTGGGAATAAAGATCTATAGAGATAGATCTAGGAAGCTGCTTGAGCTTTCCCAGTCCTTGTACATTGATAGCATCTTAAAGAGGTATAACATAGATAATTCCAAAAGTGGTTATCTACCGATAGGCACTGGACTTACTCTAAGCAGGGAGGATTGTCCTAAAACACCTGAAGAGAGAGAGCGCATGAGTAGGATCCCATACGTTAGTGCAGTGGGAGCTATCATGTATACCATGACATGTACA